ACTTGGGCTTATAACTCGTAAATAACCCTTTTCACCTGTCACAATAATTTAAAAAAAAAAAAACATAAATCGTTGCTTCCAATGGGCTCTCTCATGATTTTTTGAAATTGGGTCTTCTAGGCTTTGTATCAAATATTTGTATGAAATTGTTTATTGCAAGTAACCACACTAATGCAAACGGAAAAAAAATTAATGCAAACGGGAAAAATGACATTTCAAACGATAAAAAAAAACTCTAGTAACTTGATAAATGCTGCAAGTAGAGATAAGAACTATAAAGGTTGTGTGACCATGGCTTAGCCGAATCTAGTGGCTTGTACCACCACTGAGTCATTACCGGGTTTGCAAATTTTGGGTCTTCGAAATGCGATTCTGATGTAGCTGTGCCGTGTCGGTTTAAGCGCACTCGGCTAAGAGAAGAAAAAGCTCTTCATCGGTTATGGCTCCCATTTCCATTGCCCTTTCCAGCACGCTTAGCCCTCCATCGTCTTCTATCGATGGACGTGCTCCTCTGCATTTACACAGACAATTCAAGAAAAATTAGCACAACCGTTTAATTTCCTTATCAAAGAAACAGATCAATGGAATGTACGAGATGCGGAACAAGGAGATTTTAGTTTGAGGCCTAACTTTCGTTCGATCCAAAAAAGAAACTTTAAAACAAGAAAGAGAGAGTTTCTGAAATGTTAAAATGTACCTTCGCAGTAGGATCTTTGCAAATTTGTGGTTCCCTGATGATATGCAATGGTGTAACGGAGTCCTACCGTGATAATCTCTCATGTTTAAGTCAGCACCAAACTGCAACAACAGTTCAAGCAAGACAGAGTCACCAATGTGACAAGCAACATGGAGCAAGGAACAGCCTTGAAGGCAGTTTCCGGGTTCGTTGGAGTCTTTGATTCTCTGACACACGGTTGGGTCATGTCTTTTCTTTACTGCTTCCTCCGACGCATCAAAATGGTGATATGCATCGATATCGGTTATGTCATCGAACTTGGTATTGATGATATTCACATCCCCAGAAGTTACTATGAGTCGATAGATTTCTCGTATGTTTCTGCTTTGAACAGCTTCCCATATTCTACTCGCAGCAGAAGGGTTTGCTTTGCTTTCATCTTTGATGACTAATGCTTTCTCCAGGTACTGGCCCAAGCATAAAACACCAACCACGTTTAGTCTTTTTCTTTACCTTTCAATCTAAATCACAAACTAACATCCATCAATGTGAAGATAGATTTCACGACTTGGACACTAAAAAGTAAGGACTAATACATTACCTTCCCTAGAATGTATTTCTCCTTCACAGTAAATGAATCTTCTGGACATGGTTTCGAAACTGAAGCTCGTGATGATGTTGATTCATCTTCACTGCAAAAGCTAACACTTTTATAAGAGCTCAACACTGTTTATCATGATGTACCTTGTCAGCTACATGCATGATTTATGAAACAGGACACTGTTGGTAGATTCATTGTTCGATAATTGGTCTTTACTTTACAATGCAAAACAAACTATATATCCATAGAATCATACCAGTCATTGTCAAGGTGAAGTAGTCCCTCCCACAGTGAATTACAGTACAAATTGCCCAAATTTCGAAATAAGTCCAAGATCGTTGGCTCCCACACTTTCACATCTAATGTGATGGACCTCACCTGCAGTTTGTGGGGTACAAAAATTTATGACATCAGCTTAGAGATCACTGAGGACCCCGAAAGAAAAATCTCCAAAAGATATAACAACAGTAATGTTGACTTTTGCAAAAAAATTAAACTCTGGTGGAGAAAAATTTACTAAGGAAACTTCAGATTACCACATCTACCGAATCGGTGGTATCAGAGAAACTAGCTCATACAACGAAAAATTTCAAGGAAAGATGCTTGCTCCAAAACTAGTTCATACCTTGGATATATGAACCCCGAGGTTCCTGTGAACACCAGAGCATTGAATGCACAACAAAACTCCAAGATTTAACGATGCCCAATCGGGCTCAGGAGCATTGCACTCTGCACATACATTATTCCCCGGAATTCCTCTGAGTATTGTGGAGACATCATCCCCGATATTTCGTCTTACATCATTATGCCGACTTTGATCCAGGGAGACGACACCTTTAGCAGGAGCAGAACTAGCGTAGTCTTTATCCAAATATTGCACTGGTGACTGCCAAAGTATTTCTATTAGTAGGAAACTCACTATTAATCCAGTTTGCAAACGAAAGAGAAGCCTGAGAGACTTATTGTGTCAAACCTGTTGCAGAAAATGAGAATTCAGAAGCGTCCCTATAGCTGTTGTGATTTTATTTACCCAGTCCATCCTATCCGCTCCATTTTCAGCCTGGTAAGGTAGAAGAATAAGGTTTGTTAGCACTCTGCAGTACTTGGATAACGGGAAGAGTGGATTAGGATAAAGATAGTAAACTTGTGACTGAATCGTACCAACTAGATCCTATAACTGTAACTGCTAAAACCAACCCATTTTCAAGGGAGAATTAAAAAGAAGAAAAGGGAATTGACTTCTAATGAATTTAGTCCCCTATAGAGAGTAAATTGGTACCTGAAGTGTGTAAGTTTTTTGAGGAGAAATAATTCTGAAACAGAGCCGAAGATCCATGTCTTCTGCATCTAGTTTTATCAAAGAAGTGCGGAGATCGATAGTATTGTAGCCTAAGCTTCCCTCAGTGAGCGAAGCTGATCGATTGTGTCTTGCACGAAATCGACCAAAGACGCCACTATTATGGTCAGATGAACCACTATAGTGATGCTGAGATCCCTGAGAATAGGAATAGCAAAAAATACTCAACCGTTAAAACAAACAGAAACTATACAAAAAAGCAAGATATAGTGAGAACGACTTGCTTAAACTATTAAAACAGATTTGAAGTTCCAGAATCGCTACATATAAACAAAAGCATGAGGAAGTGCCATGTAAATCTACATGCAACCCATTACGGCTTAATATTTCTAGCTTGTCTTGAATTAGGGGAATGCTATGCAAATGATGATGACCTAAGAGGCTTATTCAAAATCAAAATCCACAATTCTTCAAGAGACTTGCTACCCCCATGCTATTACAGAGTTAAAACTTAAAGCTGATACAGCAATCTCCTAATTTACTCCACATTTTCTGCTCATAAATGCCCCCCTATTTGTTTCAGGAGAATAGAAGAAATCATGAAACAATCAATGAGATTTTAAGAAATTGTCATATTTGGCATGTAGAACTATAGCCAAATTCGAAAGACCCTATGGACATATATCATAAGGAAAAAGAGGTCCGCACACGTACCATTGATTTATTGCCATTGTTTCTGTAATAGTACATGGAGCCATGGCTATCAAGGACAAAAAACTTCCTTTTCCAATCAGTTCTCAAACTTGACGATCGTTTTAATAAATAACCCTGTTTAATTACCTGCATTGGTACAAAAAGGAACTTTGTAAGACATAAATAAGTTTAGCCTGTGCTGAAAAATAGTGTGAAATGAACAAGTCTCTATATGCTGCATGATTGCATTGGCGCACAAGCCATGACGCTAGGATTGATTTTTGTAAGGGCTTTATAACTTTCTTACCCAATCGATGAACACAAAAATACCACTTTTATGAGTAAAAAGCAAACACAATAGAGCCACGAGAACCAAAAGATAGAAAATGTGAATTGCATTCAATTCTGGCAAGAATGAAATACGGAAACTCTTACTTCCTTGTCTGCTGTTAAACTTGTTTCCGTATTTTTATAAGGTACAGTACCAACAACACGATTTCCATTAACACCAGAGGGCTCTGCGTCAGCGGCAAGTTGTTGGCTGTCTAATTCAGACTGGGTCCTGAATTCTTGAATGCGTCTTGCTAGTCGATCTTGTTCAATCTTAGACTGTTCTTTTGATTGTTGAGCATATGTCAATATCTGTAAGAAGAACAGTCACAAGTATCAGCGTTTCAAGACCTCAGTTTTTCCCCGTTTGCAAATTAAAAATCGCCTCTAAGAACTCTAGAAGCTCGCAGTTTGTTGACATAAAGTTGACCCTAAGATTGTACCTGATGGATAAATGGTTCCATTTGACCCAACAAGTCATATCCCTGAAAAAACAAAGAGGTCAAAATTAAGGATCAGTACATGACACACAGATGTGAAACTTAGTTGGTCTTACATGGTAAGGATTCAAAATGTGAAATTAGAGACCCTACAAGTTTAAAATATCTCAGATGGGCATCCATAATTGCACTTATAGATTCCAAAAACTCATACTTCTTTTTAGCTTCAATAGTCATCAGTGAATTGACCTGCATTCTTCAACCAAAGCAAAAATTTACTTTGAAGTAGGAATATTGAAAGTAAATAGCAATGACTTATGTTAGTAGAGTCACCGTACTAGATTGAAACGGCTCTTCTCAAATGTTGACTTTGAGTTCTCCAGATCCTGTCGTTCAAATATGACAGCATAAGTAAGTTACCATGCCAGGAAAAAACACAGAAGGTGCCAAATAATATCAAGGAAGAACAGTTTATTAACATGAGAGAAATAAATACAAGTGTGCAGTCTAGGAATGTGTGTATGCTCATACACACTTATGGGCACATCCATCAGGTTTTCCTAGCCGAGAATAGTAGGCAAAAGGAAAAGAATAAAAGATATACATAACAAACAAATGCTCTACCTCTTCCAACTCTGCAACAATCTCTCCTCTTGTATTCTTCTTTAAGGACACAAACTTTTCGCGTGACTACGTAAATAAAAAAACTCATTACACCACTTCAGATCAAAATAAGGTGCATCTGCTCAGGACATATTACAGCAATCCGTAACATGAAAAAAACAAGTTCCTGTGGTGGCAACACCAACCTATAAAACATATCTTTATAAGGCGAAGAAAACTGGTGTACAACTGCATGCACAAGAAATCAAGCTATAGACTCTATAACCAAGTACCTGATCATACGAATGAGCAGCTTTATCAAATCGATGGCGAGACTCCTGAAAAGATAGAAACAGCATAGTGACTGATTGAAAAATGACAACTTGAGTTTTTGATCATGTATGTCTAAGTGCGAAGGACATAAGTTGAACAATTGCCTAAGTGTCCATGAAAGCCATATCCTTTTAAAATGCATAACCAAATGACTGTCTAAATTTCACACAACAGTAAAGAGTAAATAATTTCGACTGTCTGGTATGCAAAAAAACCCAAAAAACATATATCTCCAATTTATTGATCAAAGCTGAGTCTATAAAATTTGAAACACTCAGTACATTGGGAAAGAAATAAATTGATCAAAATTAACAGAGAAAACAAGTACCTTAGCTTCTTGTAGATCAACATTAATAAAGTTCATCAACCTCTCAAGTAACACATGCTCCACCTAGAATTTTTTCCCATAAAATACCACAACTGTTATAAAAGTGAAACATTGTTGAATTCATCTGCACTGAAATAAACTGCATATTTGGCAATTTAATCTCAAACTATCTCATCTTTTCATCGCTCCTTTTCCCACAGAGTTGATTACTAACTCAAAAGGGCATTTCCAGAAAATAATCAAGACAGGAAACTCTGAATCAACAAAGACCACTATGCTAACCAAATCTTCGTTTAGATTACCAAACAAAAGTATGTTCTCAATGATGATAGGCATCTTTTAGTCTTTACTGGCATAAATTATTGTTGACAAGATACCATGAGCATACCTGTGAGCAAAGAAACTCCTTATAAGAGGCAAGCTCTCGAAGTGTATTTATGAACTTGGATATAACGGGGCCTGGTGTCACTCACAAGAATAACAATCAAATAAGTCAGAGATAAGACATTTGAGATTACCCCTGTCTATCATATAATCTCTTCAGATAAAAAGTGCAATACGCAAACTGAAATAACGTCTTAAGCTACAAAAGGATATTCATAAGCCAAGCGAAAGTGGCTTCAGTAGTAAACCAAATCACTCTACTTCAACTTGTTAGCAATCAATAATAAGGAACATGCTACAGTTTACAATTTTTACAAAACCACTTTAATGTAACCAAATGCAAGAAGTGGCCCTTATTGATTCTAGAAATCTTACACTAACATAACTAGGTGAATGTTTTCCTATTTGTTTCCCTCTACCACTGCTTCTTCCATGTCTAATCAAGATATTCAATAAGATAAACACAGTAAGCTTTGCTCAACTTCACTTCTAAAATTTTACAACATATTGAATAGGTAAGTCCCACATCCGTAACAACCACCAACCAGAAAATATCTGCATAAATCAGTCTATTCTTACTTGTGAAATGAAGGAATGAAGTGGTAATGCATATCAGATAAACTCAAAAATCAAAAAATTAGCAAGGACCAAAACCTCCAATTGAAAGACTGATAGGATCATCATGCCCTGCCCCGAACTCTTCTAGACAATCTGCAAAGGCAATTTCTCCTTTGGTTGCTTCTCCCAAAGTCCCCCTATCAAAGAAAAGTAATGCAGATCCTTTCAGACACATAATAACTAAGGGAACGGTGATGTGTATAAATTTGACTATAAGATATACACGAAAATAGAAAAACAATCAAAATAAGCTTTTAATGGCCAAACAATTCTCCACATTCGCAAATTAAGTAAAAGAAGAGACGAAATGGTACCAATACTCCAACTTCCACTATCAGAAAATATGCCACAAATGGTATTCTTATAGAACAGCAAGATCAAGACAGTAGAAGAAAAAGGGTAAGATTAGACATACATAAACTTCTTAACACCTTTGTATAGCTTCTGACAACGACCTCTAAGCCCTTCAGCTGTCCCTTCCAAGGAACAAACCTTATACCCAATCAACCAAAACACAGATCAAAAGGATCAAGTTCCACAATTTTCACAACAAAACTCTGAAATCAATCGAAAAAAATCAAAATTTTACCTGTTTCTGAAACATTGGGGAATCCTCCAGATTGATAAAGGTCGCCATTGATGAAACGAAAACGAAGAAGCTTTCGGACCGATAAGCAAAGCCGAATTATGGGTTTCTTGTTCGGTTCGAAATGGATCTGGCGAGATCCAGAGGCGTTTTCAGTTMGTGTCTGAAAATGATGGTGATTGCTTCCGAAATTCACAGAATGTTTTCAAATATACCCTTCTTAGTATCTTTATTATAAAAACGTACCTTTTTATTTTAAGGAAATTGGCTAAAACTTAAAATAACTTAAAAAAAAATTATATTTCACTAACTAATCAAATTGTTCTAATATAACGGTTTCTATTTTTCCATATCATATCATGCTATTTTCATTAGATTGCAAATATATATATTTTTTTTTGGTTATTGTTGCATATTTCTGATTTTTCCAATTTATTTTGATGGRAATACGTACAACTATTTATGTTGCAATTTATACACGTACCAAAATATATTCACACGGTAAAAAAAACTGATTTGCGAAGAAAACTTGATAGAATTAAGCTCAAATTTATTTTATTTCAATAAATAAGCCATCTTTATTCATAGTAAATCATGGATTAGTAGGATAGCCTAAT